TTGTGAGCACCCCAAAAACAAAAATTGCAGGAGAAACGAAGAAAAGGTTTTCGAGGTAAGCAAAGCCGGTTTTGTATGTTATGACCAACAAGGCTCTGTCAGCTAGGTAGTTTGAAATGACATTTTCTTTTTTTTCCTTTTTTATAAAGAAAATCTCTCTCTTTCTCTTTCTTTTGTACCAGAAGCCATCATGTTAGCAGAGAAAAAAGAATCACGCTTTTAATTGTAATCACATTTTTCTATAGTTCGTTCTGTTGCCGGGGTCCCCATTGTCTTGAAACTTCACACTGTTAAAAAACCAAAGACTGAAGTGAACAATAGCATTCAGTTATTGACGACTGTTAATCTTTCTTTAAAAATTATTTTGCTTCTTCAGGGACACCCTTAGGGCGAAGCGGCGAAAGAAACAGGTAACTATAAAACTAATACATAAATATAACTCCAAAGCTCAGGTTATGAAACTTATGTCAGTATTACATTGTACTCTTTTGTATAAAAAGGTCTCATAATGAATCAAATATCTTTTTATACNTTGTAATCACATTTTTCTATAGTTCGTTCTGTTGCCGGGGTCCCCATTGTCTTGAAACTTCACACTGTTAAAAAACCAAAGACTGAAGTGAACAATAGCATTCAGTTATTGACGACTGTTAATCTTTCTTTAAAAATTATTTTGCTTCTTCAGGGACACCCTTAGGGCGAAGCGGCGAAAGAAACAGGTAACTATAAAACTAATACATAAATATAACTCCAAAGCTCAGGTTATGAAACTTATGTCAGTATTACATTGTACTCTTTTGTATAAAAAGGTCTCATAATGAATCAAATATCTTTTTATACCATTACTAAGTTCACCCTGGCCTGCGATCACTCATCGCAATATATCGGTATAGCGTAAGTACCGTCCAATGTATTTTCAGTTAACGGTATACGAAAAAATCATCTTATGAACTGATTGAATAAGTTAAATGTAGGTCGGGCCGGACGGGAAAAACCGTGCGCCCATGATGACCGAGGGCCCTTAGTATGATTTTAAACTTTCCAGAAATGTGCTTCTAATAACGTGAAAGATCATTGTACGAAAAATTTGATTTATACCAAATTTACTTAGTGCAAATATGGTGCAAAAAAGTTCAAACTAAGGTTGAATCAAGGGCAAAGATGGTACATACCGCATTTGCTAACGAATTTACAACCCCATGTAGACTGGTATGCAAATCAGTGCTGTAT